TGTATAGAATCGCTAGGAAGCTGCAGACAAACCCCAGTTGGCCTTCGAGAAACCGTTTAAAGCCTGATAGATCCATGTAGAACCCTGCGAAACAAATGTGGTCACCTGCAAACATGGCTACATACACCCTTGGCATGTGTAGGCGCCTGGGGCGGATGCCCCATCAGACTAAGCAATGCTCGGGCTTGTAAGGGAGGTTGCTTATAATCAGGCTTTCGCCGGATTCTTTAAGTGTTTTATCGGAGTGCACGAGTCTAAAAACGAGTCGCGGGTTTGGGGGGGCTTGGTTAAGTTTGGAGGCCATATTACTTGCTATGTATTCCTACGATGGTGACTTGGCTTGGCCTGATAGTCTGTGGTCAACTGTGGACCTGAACTCACAAGACCTGGCGGGAAGAGATCTTACAAGGTGCTTACACCGCGTTTGTTGTTCAGGGAAAGCCAACCTTGCAAAAGGAGTTTACCTAATCCGGAAAAGCAAAAGCGCAGCTTCGATGGTCCCTGCCTGTGCGAAATGAACAGGATGAGACGGAAGCCCGAGTGATGCTGAGCCGTGCGGTGGAGTGCGTACCTCACAGTGTCCGGGCCTGAGGTCGAACGAAGGCGAATTAAAGCTTTTCCGAGAAAGCCTGTCTTTCGGAGGCATGGGCATGGCTTTGCAGATTCGGGTTCAGAGCTAAGCGGTTGAAGGTTCTCTGCGATGTCTTCTTGACCCGAGGGACCTCTCCTGCAACTGCTAGCTGGAAGCCGGATGTCAGTTCCGTTTTTTGAACCGTACAGACTGACAGATAAAGGAGAACTGGCCGGGGGTCTTATCGCGCTTTACATTCTTCCACACCAAGAAAGAACCCTGCTTGCGAACAAGCCTGACATTGTCCAGCCTTGGTTTCGGATGCGGAAGCCAAAGGGGAAAAGCCCGAAATCCACTTCGATGTGAAAATAGACGGTGCAGACAGGCGGGAAAGCTGATGCCCGCGGGCTAAACGACTTCCAGGGACAACGACTTCCTGCCTGTCCTGTCGGTAAATAAGAACCCACGACAACAGGTGGCGACTCCCCAACGCTGAAGCACAGAACCCTTAAGCCAAGCGCTCTGTGCCTTCATGAAACCTGCTCTGTGCCTTGTTCTGCAGTGGGATTCGCCACATACCGAAGCCGTCGTAGAGGCTTTGCGTAAATTAGTCTACAGGGGGCGCAGCAAGGGCGGGGGACTAAAAGAGAACCCCGCTGAGGTGGAGATGTGGCTGGCCCTGGCAAAGCTATCCGCGTACAAGGCATCAGCTCGAGACTTTAGGAAAGGGCTTCCAAGCTTAGATGTCGTGGGGAGCAGCCTGAAGGCATGATTAGGGGATCAGGGGAGTTCTAATAAGTACAGACATGCTCCCTCTCAGCCTTCATTTAGGAGCCTAGGACCTAGAGTAGGCCCTTATTCCCTTTTTTAGGGTTCAGGTTCCCTTATAAGCCCCTTTAAACCAAAAAGGGCACCCTTTTTATTCCTAGGCTACTCTTGGGTCTAGGAGCTGTCCGAGCCATCATGATCATGTTAACCATAACTCATGGCCTCTGTCTCTTGTTGCATCGCATCTTGGGTCATACTAGTCTTCATGTTCATCCCTGTCAACATCACCACCAGCAGCACCCTGCGCAGCACCGCGACAATCAGAACAGAATAGTAGCAATAAGAAGCACAATGCTAAGATACCATGTTTGAATAAAAATAGGACGAAGATGGAAGCATGGTAGCAACAAAAATGCAGCAACATGATATGAAGAGATCACTAGTAGGCCTACTCCTGTCCACATTGAAGACTGGCAAGGCTACCGACCGTAAAGGTCCGGACGACAATCTGAGCTGAGAACCTCACCAGCCGAAGCTGCAAGAGTACGCACAATAGACGCACGCAAGGCAGGGCATATTTCTAGCTCCATTCCTTTACCCTGTCAGCTGTGATCCCTTAAAGCTGAACCCTAAGCCCAAAAAAAACTACAGTGGAACCTCCTAGGTCTCCAGACAAACACCCGAGCCCTTACACATCGTTTCCGCAAAGCCATCAGGATGCCCAGAAGGTGCTGAACGAGGCACGAAAGCACATCCCGCTGCGAGCTGAGTGAGCTTTGGTGGGGTGAAGGTGTTCCTTCACATCGAGCGCACCATACGGCCTGTAGAGCTTCTCGAAGGAAGTCACACGGCAGCCTGACCCTTGAGCTGCATGTTCTTCTCGCCGTTGTTCAAGCCACGGAGGGTCCTTGCACAGCAACGCGCTTGGAGACTGTAGACACTTAGTCACAATGGCTTCCCAGAGCCACACCTTGCCTGTGCTTGTGGCCGCTGCCTGCTGCGCGGCTGTGCTTCGCAGCTTCTGGGCACCGAGCCAGCAGACTTTCGTGGCACCTCAGCAGAGCGTGCACATGGGCTGCCAGGCGTTGTCGGGTGGTGCTCTGGCCTCCGGCAATGTGCCTGCCATCGTGAACACAGTCCCCGCTCGCCCTGGTGTGCCCGCCCACTTCAAGGTGACGCTCGAGACACCGGATGGCACCCAGTCCTTCGAAACGTGGCAGCACTCCATTGCAGCTTTGTAAGTTAACATGTTGGACTTCAGGTATTGGACGTTGAACTTTTCGCAACCATGCCACCGACAAACAAGGAATGCCCCGAGGACGTTTACATCCTGGATCAGGCTGAGGAGGAGGGCTTGGAGCTGCCCTACTCCTGCCGCGCGGGCTCTTGCTCCAGCTGCGCTGGTAAGGTCCTGGAGGGCGAGATCGATCAGAGCGATCAGGCTTTCTTGGACGATGACCAGATGGGCGAGGGCTTCTGCTTGACTTGCGTGACTTACGCCACCTCGGACGTGACCATCAAGACCCACTGCGAGGATGAGCTGTAGATGGTGCATGAAATGTTGGTACTTCGCTGCCGCTTTTCCCATATCTGTTCTGCTTAGTATGTTGTTGGTTTCAAAAGTTTTCGATGCTAGCCTCTAGCCAAGCGCTGGCCGGTACGAGACACTCCCTCCGTGCATAAAAGGAGCCACTACGGAGATGCATGTCGGTTCCATTGGAGGGTCACGCAGCTCAGGAACCAAACTCACGAAAGGCCCTGACCCTTGAGTTGCATGTTCTTCTTGCCGTTGTTCAAGCCACGGAGGGTCCTTGCACAGCAACGCGCTTGGAGACTGTAGACACTTAGTCACAATGGCTTCCCAGAGCCGCACCTTGCCTGTGCTTGTGGCCGCTGCCTGCTGCGCGGCTGTGCTTCGCAGCTTCTGGGCACCGAGCCAGCAGACTTTCGTGGCACCTCAGCAGAGCGTGCACATGGGCTGCCAGGCGTTGTCGGGTGGTGCTCTGGCCTCCGGCAATGTGCCTGCCATCGTGAACACAGTCCCCGCTCGCCCTGGTGTGCCCGCCCACTTCAAGGTGACGCTCGAGACACCGGATGGCACCCAGTCCTTCGAAACATGGCAGCACTCCATTGCAGCTTTGTAAGTTAACATGTTGGGTCTTCAGGTATTAGACGTTAAACTTTTCGCAACCATGCCACCGACAAACAAGGAATGCCCCGAGGACGTTTACATCCTGGATCAGGCTGAGGAGGAGGGCTTGGAGCTGCCCTACTCCTGCCGCGCGGGCTCTTGCTCCAGCTGCGCTGGTAAGGTCCTGGAGGGCGAGATCGATCAGAGCGATCAGGCTTTCTTGGACGATGACCAGATGGGCGAGGGCTTCTGCTTGACTTGCGTGACTTACGCCACCTCGGACGTGACCATCAAGACCCACTGCGAGGATGAGCTGTAGATGGTGCATGAAATGTTGGTACTTCGCTGCCGCTTTTCCCATATCTGTTCTGCTTAGTATGTTGTTGGTTTCAAAAGTTTTCGATGCTAGCCTCTAGCCAAGCGCTGGCCGGTACGAGACACTCCCTCCGTGCATAAAAGGAGCCACTACGGAGATGCATGTCGGTTCCATTGGAGGGTCACGCAGCTCAGGAACCAAACTCACGAAAGGCCCTGACCCTTGAGTTGCATGTTCTTCTTGCCGTTGTTCAAGCCACGGAGGGTCCTTGCACAGCAACGCGCTTGGAGACTGCAGACACTTAGTCACAATGGCTTCCCAGAGCCGCACCTTGCCTGTGCTTGTGGCCGCTGCCTGCTGCGCGGCTGTGCTTCGCAGCTTCTGGGCACCGAGCCAGCAGACTTTCGTGGCACCTCAGCAGAGCGTGCACATGGGCTGCCAGGCGTTGTCGGGTGGTGCTCTGGCCTCCGGCAATGTGCCTGCCATCGTGAACACAGTCCCCGCTCGCCCTGGTGTGCCCGCCCACTTCAAGGTGACGCTCGAGACACCGGATGGCACCCAGTCCTTCGAAACATGGCAGCACTCCATTGCAGCTTTGTAAGTTAACATGTTGGGTCTTCAGGTATTAGACGTTAAACTTTTCGCAACCATGCCACCGACAAACAAGGAATGCCCCGAGGACGTTTACATCCTGGATCAGGCTGAGGAGGAGGGCTTGGAGCTGCCCTACTCCTGCCGCGCGGGCTCTTGCTCCAGCTGCGCTGGTAAGGTCCTGGAGGGCGAGATCGATCAGAGCGATCAGGCTTTCTTGGACGATGACCAGATGGGCGAGGGCTTCTGCTTGACTTGCGTGACTTACGCCACCTCGGACGTGACCATCAAGACCCACTGCGAGGATGAGCTGTAGATGGTGCATGAAATGTTGGTACTTCGCTGCCGCTTTTCCCATATCTGTTCTGCTTAGTATGTTGTTGGTTTCAAAAGTTTTCGATGCTAGCCTCTAGCCAAGCGCTGGCCGGTACGAGACACTCCCTCCGTGCATAAAAGGAGCCACTACGGAGATGCATGTCGGTTCCATTGGAGGGTCACGCAGCTCAGGAACCAAACTCACGAAAGGCCCTGACCCTTGAGTTGCATGTTCTTCTTGCCGTTGTTCAAGCCACGGAGGGTCCTTGCACAGCAACGCGCTTGGAGACTGCAGACACTTAGTCACAATGGCTTCCCAGAGCCGCACCTTGCCTGTGCTTGTGGCCGCTGCCTGCTGCGCGGCTGTGCTTCGCAGCTTCTGGGCACCGAGCCAGCAGACTTTCGTGGCACCTCAGCAGAGCGTGCACATGGGCTGCCAGGCGTTGTCGGGTGGTGCTCTGGCCTCCGGCAATGTGCCTGCCATCGTGAACACAGTCCCCGCTCGCCCTGGTGTGCCCGCCCACTTCAAGGTGACGCTCGAGACACCGGATGGCACCCAGTCCTTCGAAACATGGCAGCACTCCATTGCAGCTTTGTAAGTTAACATGTTGGGTCTTCAGGTATTAGACGTTGAACTTTTCGCAACCATGCCACCGACAAACAAGGAATGCCCCGAGGACGTTTACATCCTGGATCAGGCTGAGGAGGAGGGCTTGGAGCTGCCCTACTCCTGCCGCGCGGGCTCTTGCTCCAGCTGCGCTGGTAAGGTCCTGGAGGGCGAGATCGATCAGAGCGATCAGGCTTTCTTGGACGATGACCAGATGGGCGAGGGCTTCTGCTTGACTTGCGTGACTTACGCCACCTCGGACGTGACCATCAAGACCCACTGCGAGGATGAGCTCTGAAGCTCTCCAATGCAACTAGACCTGCAACCCTAAACCTGGTAGTACGCATAATCTGGACCCCTGCCACCCGAAGCGTAAAAGACAAATTAAACATAGCTTGCTAAAATCTCATAGAGTTTTCGCAAATTTCTCGGCAGCTCTCGAGCCAAGAGCTGGCCTGCGCGGTAAAAGAGCCGCGGCATCCGCGTTTCTACTGGCGGTCTCCTGTGTTCTTGCAACTTGTTTTGCTTCAGTCAGTCGCCTTTCAGTCGTGTCACTGGTACTTCCTGCCTGCTTTGCAGCCAGCTGTACGCCAGCACGCGCCAAGGACGAGCCCGGTCATTTGGGTGACGGCGACGGCCTCGGCCTGCACATCTCACTTCAGAAGGAGTAACCGTATCGGTTGCGTGCGTAGTCCGACGGAGGACACAAAGCATGGAGAATCCTGAATTCACGAATGCAGCGCAAGGCCGCCAAGCTGGAAGAAACCCAGGGCAACGAGAAGATGGCAGGGGACCTACGCGCTGGAAGCGCTGCAACCGTTGAGTTGGGCAGGAGGTGATCTCGAGGGTTTTAAGGACTTTAGGCCTTTAGGGCTAGAGGACAGGAGCTTCGATGAGAGCAGCAACATGACATGATCAGCAAATTCCAAGCCGTCCAGCACGTGTACTCTCGGAACAGCAAGTTGTTGGAAGTGCCCTTAAAGCCCTCATCCCAAGCTACACGCACAGCAGATGAGCTTTGCAGTCTGAGCATAGCTTGCGATGGAACGTCTGGCACTTCCTTGACATGGACTTTATGCCAAAGCTCGGACCTCAACCAAGGTGGAGTTGATTTTGACCCGAGCCATCGATTCCCTAGCCGCCAACGGCGTGACACCGGACCGCGACATGTTGGGGGCTCGGTGCTACAGAAAGCTCAAGGGCGACCTCGCATGGAGCTCTTCGTGTGGGTTAGGTTGACAGAACAACAAATGCACCTCCTCTCTCCGTGTCTTTTGGTACGATCTTGCAAGCAAGTGTCAATGCGGAGCACAGCCGAGAAACTGACTGTCTTGGGGAAAACCTTGCTCGCACAGCCCAGGTGGTTGAAGCAAGCAGAAGAGGCCAAGACCTGCAGCCCGGGGCTATTCCAATCTAAAGGTTCGCTTGGCTATCCGGAGGCAGAAGACATTCTACGGGGAGTCCAAAAAATAAACATTGATTGAAACTAGAAGATGATGCCACCGGATTGAGCCGTGTAGGTGCCAGACTACCGTGGAGTCAAACCCGGAGCACAACACGTATTAATTATATGGGTTGTTTCGCCACTACTCACATCTGCCGGGGACCCTCACGTCCTGCTGCGCAGTGTGTTTAGAGATACCGGCATTGCGGAAACCGGCATACGCACTGTTCCAGCATTTGGCATCCTACGGATGGCAGGCAGAGAAGACGGGCTTCATCAAGACGTGCCAGGCCATCATCAAGGTGACCATCAAGGTCAGCTGACTTTCCTGCGGTTGCAAAGCTTGGCAAGGCCATGCAGTTTCATTCAGGTGCCGCGACAGGATGCTTGGGTTCGCCTTCGATTTTCCAGACATTCTAGGGCATTGCCTGAAAAATGTTGTACAAGCCTTTGCCAGCCTGGTCAGAGGGGGCCCTGTCATTGCCACTTCTGGGATTTGTGACCTGCAACTTAGATTAACTAATGGGTTTAGTTAGTGCACCCGGTCTAGCTGATTGACCATAACACTCAAGACGCCGAAAGCTCATCAATACCTTCAAGCAGCGGAAAGGTCGGTGTCGACGAAGATGTCAAGGGCATGAAGCAGAACTGGATCCAGGCACGTTGAGGGCTTCTTTGGGACTTATGCCACGGAGACATAGACGTTGAAGGATAGCTCTGAGCTCCTTGCAGTAAGGATCCCTGCCGCAGTTAGAAAGGTATACACATACTTGGACCCGAACAGACTATTCCCTTGTGCCGGTGTTCATTCCCTGTTGAACAACATCTCTGCAAGCAAAGGTGTGCAATTCTAGGGTTTGGGCTTTCCTGACTAGATTTTTGACCTCCGTCAATGCAGGCCAGCAAGGCCTAGCGCCCTAAGCAACTCAGCTCCAAGAACACGAAGGGTTTTGGCAGAGGCATAGCCTGTTGGAGGGCTTGTGAAAGGGCAACTTCAGGACAGGTCTGAAAAAGAACTTCGCCCGACCTCCCGCAAGCTGCCCACAGGATGCAGATGCTGCAATCAACAGAAACTCCATCGAGGCCACGGTGGGATGAGGGGGGCTTTGGGGTTTCCGACAGTCAGATCCCCCCTGGCCAAGTCAGCATCGCAGCGGCAGCAAGTACTTAAGCTTTTCTCGATTCACTGACCGCCTGGAAGGACCTTGTAGTGAAGCTCTACGTTAATATACCTGATATGCACAGCACAAGTTCTTGTGAAACCCACAGATCCTTCTGCTGACGTACAGCAGCTTCCCTTTTGGTAGTTTGGCGTCTGGCTGCGAACATTTGGATACTGAGGCACATCGTGGATGTAGTTGCGGGGTCAGGGTTTCGGTTTTAGGAAAAGTTTTGGCTGTGAAACACAGCCATGAAAGTATTGCTCCAGGGCTCTGAAGCAGGGACATGCAGTTCTCATCCAGCCAGCACGCTGCTCGAGGTCGCCCGAGCCATCTACAACAATGCGGTCATGCACCTGAAGGGCAAGAAGGCCTCAGATACAGGTTGAACTAAGTCACTTGCAACCGGGCGACCTATCTCTGAAGTACAGGGGTATCTCGCATTGCAAGCCGCGAAGTTGCAGTTGAGCAGCGAATGAGATGCCCAAAACACTGAGCGTTGTGTGTTGCGAGCTCTTTGAGGCTACGCTTCCTTGAGAGATAGCGGTGTATCAGATGTCATGGTACCAAACAATACCTGCAAGAATAGTAGTCGTAAAAACACCACAGCCATGACACCCCTCGAACAGTTGATTGCCTCAAGTCTCCGCGTGGCGGTGAAGCTCTATACGAGTGTTCTAGGTTACAAAATTCTCGGCCATGAGTGTCTTGATCGCACTCCGACTTCCAACCCAGGCGCACGCTCTGTTGCGAAGAACCATGTGCAGTTTATGGAGTACTGAACACTACTCAGCGACGTGAACCGGAAGTCATACACTATGAACCCTAATTACAGCAGGACCCCAGATCCAACTTCGAACCTCACATGATCCTGGATCCTACACCATCAGACCCGACCCACAAACCCGATCCTACACAATAGACCAGTCCACAACCCAGTATACTACCTACGTCACGGGAAAATTCAACTGCTTGCCGGCGTTTAAAGTGAAGCCTATCAAGCAACTACTACAACAACAACCACAACCTACGTTGCGCTTTGTCCAGGGCCTCTGGCTCCGCTTGGCCGAACTGGAAACCAAGTACGGCAACGCAGAGTCGCTGGACAACGTGGGAAGCCTACGTTCTGGTTTTGGGGCACAGGGCCTTTTGAGGTAAGAGTACATTCCTCACCAAATTTTGGAACAGCTGAATTGTTATGTTCGTGACCGTAAGGCCTAAGTCTTAAATCGTAAACCCTGGACTATTAACCCAGATCGTCAAGCTTAGCCATTAGCATTACGCCAAGCATTCAAACCCTCAAACCAGCCCAAAGCCGAGATCGATGCCCCAGCCCTAAACCCTTGAAGCCCGGCCCATTACATCATAAACCCTCAACCAAAAGCATTGCAACTGCAAGCCCCTGCTGTGGGGTGTGGGCTCCTTCTCAGGTGCTGCAGCGAGCAGTGACATACTGCCCGCATGCCGAGATCCTGTGGCTCATGGTCCGGAGCTCGGTTGTCCTCACCCTCCCTGGTCGTGGATAGCAGGGATACCGTGGCTCCTCTTAATCTTCTTAGTGCGATTATCGCTGCTGCTACAATTTCATTTGCAACTTTACACTATATATATATATATATATCTATATATACAGCAAGCGCAACGAGTCGCTAGTGCAGTCATTTTTGTGCTGTCCTCGAAGTCTACGATCCGTTTATTGTTGGCATTGCCACATACCGTGTGCTGGTAACCAATAAATCTACTGTGAACGGTTAACGGGCACGCTTATCAGCGTAGCGTTACAGCTTCTGGTGTTGATATGAGAACTTCGGCTTTGCAGTCGACAAGAATCCTGCCCTCGTCTTCATCCCCAGCAAAGCAAAAAGGTAGTCCGCATGGATTGTTTCCAGTGTATGCATAGCCTTCATGTACTGTTAAAAGCTACGATATCACCGCAGCCCCGGCTCAGCCCCGGCTATCCGACCCCTCAGGCTGCAAAGCAGAAGTGGCTCCGAGGCGATGTCGCAGCAGCTCGTCGGACCGGATGTGGGCGCTTGAATCAAACAGAGCCCAGAGACTCTTATGTCCTTAGCTTAAAACAGGAAGGGCTCCTTCATTGAGGATTCCTCCGACTTCTTTCACATGTAAGTAGCAGACCTCAAGCAGGGATTGTGGAGTCTGTCGGAGATTGGCTCAGGTTGTTTTGGTTGGTGAGCGGAGAGGGGGGCGGGGCGAGGTGGGATTGTCAACTTCGTCCTTCCCCGAGAGGGCGCTGGTCCGTATGTCACATTCGCAAGCGATGAAACCCGGACGTCCTGATGCTACTCTCCCTCCTCTGTTCAGATGGACAGCCACTCGGAATGCTCTTACTTACTGTTGCCACACCAGCACCACCAATCCTGACCCAACCCTGAGCTGAGCCTTCAGAGACCCTCGCGAATGCCCGCAGGATCCTGGCCGAAGCCTTCAGTCACTCTAAAGAGTCCGAGGCCACTGGTGCTCTGATTGCGACATTACGAATTCGCGGACGTGTGATTGGTTGCTGCGTCAAAGATGTTGTGAAAGCAGCTCAGCAAGACGCGGTGTATGATCCAAGTTGGGCGTCCCACAACACGAAGACTTTTGTAACAAGGCCCACGGGAGTGGTCTTTCCAGTGTTCTTCACATGAAGCTAACATTGCTGGCGAACTCTGCTTTTTGAAACATCGAAACCGG